GCTGACAAACTATACGCAAAGAGGGTGTTGACCATATGAGTCAACTGCGAAACCAGCAAACGATTATATCTTTCCTCAGTCTCTGGCAGGTCGAACAACGACTGCAGCAGCCGGATTTGCAGCCATTTGACGGTAGTTTTAGGCATACGCACTTCGGCCATGCTCTTGCCGATCGACGTTTACGTGTTTTCGTGCCGCCTTGATCGTAACCGCCCTTTGCTAATCGCTGATAGCGGTGGGATTTGACAGATCGTCCCGCAAAAATGGCACGCACAAAGACAAACAGACCTATTTCATTCGATTCCACCTCTCCTGCTACCCCACACACACACACACACACACAGACACACACACACACACACACACACACATCTTTTGCAATACGCCGGGCAGGAATCGTGCTCACATTCGTACATGATAGAACGTGTTTGCGTATTTTTTGGCCAGTCATCGTCCTTGTTATGTCCCTTGTATGCCACGAGCACAGATCTGTTTCAGAACGTCTCGCCTTGTTCTTCTGCTATCGCTCGTTAAGTGTGTGCGTGTCGTGCCAAAATTGAAAACGATGGAACACATCGTGTCGTCTGAGCCCCACCAGAGTGGAGTTGCCCTCTCCTAGAACAGTTCGCACGTGCGTTATTAAGGTCGTCCAATGGTACCATTTTGTAGAGGCTAATAGATGGCGAGGGATTGGTCGGACAGTGTCAACACACTTTGCAATCGCGTTTCTGATGCTGGGCATTGGTCGACAGTCGAACAGTGGCAGAAGCTGCTTTCGATCATGCGCAAATGGAACTACAGAGTGGCGTTTTTTTGCTAACGTTTAGGTCATATAGGCTACGATTATTTCATCATCTAGCAGACAACAATACTACCGTCACAGTAGTACCGATACAACATTTTTCCCTAGGACGTTTTTAGCCCTACTGTAGAGCTAACGCCGCTGTTGAAAGCAACGAGCCTCTTGCTTACGATGGCCTACGTGAGAAGAAGGCCACATCAAAATAATTTCCTCTATTTTGAGTTAAAATAAAATCAACCCTATGTACAAGGGAAACGTTGATTGCATTTTTTATACGCGAGTTTTGTTTACGCCAGTCGACGAATATGTTGGATGCAAACTTTCTAATAAGTGTGCAGTTCCATCTTTTATGAATGAAGGGTTCACGTACAAATGCAGGCACTAACAAATGTAACAGACGACCGCGTCTTCTGCAATGGGTCCCTTTCATTTTCCAAAATAATTTCACGAAATGGTTACCTAAGTGGGCAAACACCGTCATTCGACGTATCCGGTAATAGGCCGTGCCGTATATGCACAGCATCAGCACACTCTTTTACTCGCTTTATAGACACCCGGGAAGGTTCACTTACCTATTCCGTTTTAGTATACGGCTCGTACGACAAGTTTACACCAAAGGCTACTTCATACGATACCGCTAATTCAGCCATGTATAACTTGGGCCCAGGCCCATTGTATTGTTTCCCCAACCTGTTTCATCGCCCGAATCTATTCGTTAACAGCCCAACTGTTACCCCGTAACGTTATTTCAGCCGTTGCGGAGATCGTTGACATATGCATACTTACACGATTTTATTTACTTAAGCGTCCGAACTGGAATCTTACCATCGTATCAAGGTGCGATTAAAATGGCAGTGAAAGATGTTTTTTTAGGAAACCGAGAGTCAATTGTACGTCCTGTACGTTTAACGGATATATTATTCTTTGATTCGAAATTTGAATTCACTGGAAAAATGTCTGGATAGTTGAGACTTTTTTAACACCGTCAAGGCCTATACGCTTTATGATTATAACATTAAACCCGTATGCCTAATTTATTAATATTATATATTCTGTGTATAATATTAATAATATTACTTTATATACCTTTCAGGTTATTCTTACGAAAAGAGTTTATTGTCTGATCTCTGTATACAGTGCCTTCAAAGGTTATTGAGAATATGTCGTTGTACGGAAGCAGACACTCTCGTCAGTTGAACAGGCCCGCACCGAAAGGAAAAACGTAGACAGAATAACCTACAGGTCACAGATATTCCGAAAAAACTCCGGAAATGAATATGAGTGTGGAAAAATTTTCCTATGAAGTTAATATCGAATGAAAATTAAATTGAATGAGAGAGTGATTTGAGTTGTAACGTACGCCATGATACCTAAATGTCTTGAATATGGCTGAGACTCATTGTGTTAGCTTCGGCATGCTTACCTTTCGTTTGTTAAGTTTCAAACTTTTCGAGTGTTCCCTCTGTAAATTCGGACACCCCATCTCACAGTTTGTCTAACGAAGAGACCCTATATTGCCGTAGTGCTGCTACTTAACAATGGTTGGCTTTTCGAGAAAGAAAAAGATCGTAGTTCTATTGACATTTTTGGAAATGGCAGCAGAATCAATAATGCCGCAAACCTCTAGATCAGCTAATCATCACCCACCTTTAATTCTAATCACTATCATATCGACTAGTAGCGTTCTTTCTTTCGTTTTAGATTTGCCATCATCAGTCACCCTAGCTAGATATCTACTATATTACCGTAGAGAGCCCTGGAGACTCGTTAAGGCTTGCACCTCAGAGGTCGCCATTACTTTGTCTGTGTACGAAACATCGATACACCAGACAGCCTCGCTTGTCCTGCTGCAGGAGTATGCAGGCTTAACTAGCTGAATCGACTACCTCAACACACATACAGGGACAGAGAAGGACTCGTATTCGCATACACAGACAGGGATCAGCTGTTTGATCTGGTAAATCCGGATTAGCTAGAGTTGAGGCCTTCCGTCAGCAGCAGCAGTGGCGATGCTGGTCCGATGGGTCTCACGAAGCGCCAATGGCTTCTGGCTTCAGTAGTAACACTCGCTTCGGTAGCAGTCGTTGTGACGGCAGCGGATCCACTGCAAGTCCGTTGGTCTTTAGCCGAGTGAGTATTACGAATGAGATCTAGCAGGAAAGCAGCTTTCAAAGCTGTGTTTCGCCACGACATGCACCAGTCGGTTACAGCTGGAGGCTCGAGTTGTGCCGTGAAGCACACCCATGTCGAGGTTGTTTGCCTGTTTTGGCCAGTCTGCCTATATTGTACTACTATTATCACAGAAATTATTCAACTAATGTTCCAACAACATATACCTAACCATGTTGATGTTCATCGCAAAGCACAACAAGATGAAGGGATCCGCATCTCCTATGCTTCGCTGTTTTGGCTATTGCTCCTATGGCGCCAACCAGCTGTTTATGAGCGCTGCGTCGAGGCTCGGCGATGGCCTACGGCTGGGTCATATGCTAAGCCGCTAACGGCCTCTCTGTAAGCTCGATTTCCACACGGGCGTAGTTGAAACCTCGAACTTCGTCTGAATACATGACCGTATCAAGATTGAGGTCTAGTTTAGTTCCAGCGTTATCGACGGTCATGGTGGCCGTCGTCTAACCTTCTACCCTCTCCAATCCGAAGTCCACTAGAGTCCGGAGCAATGCTCGCTCGGTAATGTCCTTCACCGTTGGCCGATGGCCGAAGAATCTACAACACATAATTGAACAAAAAGTATAGCTTATAACAAACATACTTACTACGACTTGTCTTTGAGGATCCCTCGTTTCCTCATGGACGCTCAGTCCTCTATACAATCCGCCATAGCGTTGGTTCGACAAGCACAAAAACAACCAAAGGGTCACAAAAGCCTCACCGTAATGCTTCTCTCAATAGCAGGCTCGACAATATGCAAAAGCAGCGCCAAAATGCACTGCACGCCCGAAGTTCACTTCGTCCACTCGACGGGAGCACTTGCGGCCCGTGTTTGTGTCAATCGTGACGGGTTTAATATGTCATTCGTGTGCATATAGACACGCACTTGAAGCGAACGGGAGAAAATGCAGACCTTAGGGACTCAGTATTTGAATAGGCGTAGGAAGCAACGAATTTCGAAAGACTGTTGTTGCTATGGGCATTAGTTCATCGGCATAATGGGCTTGGTTTAAGATGTCAATCGACGGGTGCTACTCAGTGATGAGCAACAATTGAATACAATAGGCAGCCACTTAGCGAACGGCTTGGAACTTCACGATTCTTAAACCGCGTGTGAACATGTCACAAACCAAAAATACTCTGCCGCTGACGTCCTTACGATTCGGTGCATCCTGAAGTCGTTAACGAATCGCTCGGTACTTCACTGCCACGACTGCCGGCTGGGTCGAATGAGACTGTATATATATCAATTATGAGTTATGGTGAGCTGTATTTCGGCTGCTGATCACAATACGATTTTTGCGAAAGCAATGCAGTCTTATGCTTTGCGTATGGTCTTCTTGTGTAGCATTTGTAAGTTTGTCGAGAAAAAACAGTAATTCTCACTTAAACGCCATAGAAACGCAGTATATTAGACTAAGAATTAGGGCACTGCCAATACACCATCGAGATGAACACGTAACGCTTTGGTAGTGACTGACTGTTTAAACGTACGCCCATTACTAACGAAATCAATTTTTTTTCGAAAATATTTCTGATCATAAACTTGCGGTCAAATTAGTACTAGCGGTGCTTAATAATTTCGAAACTTGCCAGCGTTGCATAGAATCAGACAAAGGCTTAAATATCTATATGTCACGCACGAGAAAATTCAGTGCCTTTCCAAATTTCAGCGGTAAACTCGTTTCTCGTAGTGTCTTTGAATAAACATTATCCAGTCTAATTGCGGCCAGTATTTTTCTAGGAGAGCACAGGTTGTGCCATTTTTATTATACACATTATTTAAAAAAGTATTATGGCCGTATAAGTTACTGTCGTAGGAACATCACATCTCTCACACATCACTTCAGAGTCATGAAGACCAATTTAATTGTAAATTTTAGATCCCTTCCAGTGTTATGCTTGGAAATACGTATTTTTTGTGTATTTCATTAGCATTAGAGCATCTTTCATTGCAGAATAACGTAGAGTGTTATTAATCGAGAACTGCAATAATATACTATCGTGTTATGCATATGCGCGCTTTCAGGGGGAGGTCCGGCGCCGCGTAAGCAGCGCCGCGAAAGAACGACGTTTACGCGAGCTCAGTTGGATGTCCTCGAGACTCTCTTTTCGAAGACTCGCTATCCCGATATCTTCATGCGGGAGGAAGTTGCGGTAAAAATTAACTTACCCGAGAGCCGGGTGCAGGTTTGGTTCAAGAATCGACGTGCCAAATGTCGACAACAACGGCAACAAAGCCAAGCACAGGTAACAGTGGCCGCGGTCAACTATTCACGCAAAAAGAATAACTATGCTATACTTCAATAGATACTATAAAAATACGGTAGATATAAGCAAACAGATGCTTTCTTCCGATCACGTATATATATATATATATATATATATATATATATAGGATCTTTGATTTCGAGCTGTTTCACCTATCCTTAATGAAATACAGTCGTAATTAGAACAAGAAGTCTACATACGTGTAGCTGTTGTATAACGGCAAACAGAAGTTTCCCTAGCGCCATGTTATCTACGATTTTTATCATCCAAATACTAAAGGTATTTAGTGAATCGAAAAGCTTTAAAGTCATATAGGGTAGAATAACGATACCTTTTGTATACGTTTGATGCCTCCTTTAGGGTTTATCTGTTAGGAAGTTTGTTGGCTGCCAGACCAGTTATGATCGACATCACCATACCTACTCTAGTTGTCGATGGTTTGTTTGACGGCCACGACGGTAGACTACTCTATGCCACCTATCGTCGTCTTTAGAGCAATGGAAATCGTACGAATCTATATATATGGAATATATGAGGACTGAAACTATCGATCAATTCCGGTTTCCTCGGCACCGGCCGTGACTGAAGTACGGCAGTGAGGTCGCGAATAATCGTCGAGTAAACATTCTGTGTGCTATCAATTACGACACCTCACACCCGTAGGGCTCTTGAGGCACTCAAGTCATCTGACAACACTGAGCTTTTTATCTCTTTAAGAAAAATTCCTTTAATATTCATTTCAAGGACAAGTACCCATTTAAGCCTGAGTCTGTTCGGCGCTGCCAGTAAAACCGTTTCGATTCCGTTCGACGGGATCCGTTTGCGTGACCCCTTTTTGGTGGGCAGCAGGGACCGACCCATGTCTTCTGAATGGAGTTGATGTGCTCCAGGAAGGCTGTTTGCTAATAATAGTTGAATAAATAATCTGTACCAGACACGACACATTTGTCCGTCTTCTCTAGACCCAGTTCATGAAAACCAATTGTTTTTCTCTTTCAAAACATAACCTTCAGAGACTTCTTTACACTTTTATAGTATATGATATAATGAATTCCATAATGCGTCCGCAGAAAATGCTCTGTTCTGCTTAAAAGTACCTGTTGTAATAGCAACTCTTTCCTATGTCTGAGGTCATCAAGCGTCGTTACCTTCTCTGTGATCTTCAGCCTTCCAATTTGCATCGACAACAAATTATTCTCTAGTTGAAAGCCTCACTAGCCAGTATTTTCGTCAATCTTCGAGAGACTCCAGCAGAGCATTCACCTTCGAAAAGCAGGCACTTGATAACCGAATACTGATATTTTTACATTTAGGCTCATCATTCTTGGACGACACTTGACTGGCTCACGGTCATATATTGAAGACCTGACGTACATATTTAGCTAACTTCATCTGGCACTTGGCCTACTAAATAAGCTACTAAAAATGAAAAAGTTAATATGTAAAAATAAAATATATATGTATGTGCAGCAACCTACGAACATGGTATAAACGCTAAATCTTTGTAGTGTTGTTAAATTTCTTTATAACTGATGTCATGTCTAGGCTCAAACGACGAACGCAACTGCTGGTTCGGGTGGCAAGGCAAGCCGTCCGAAGAAGTCAAAATCGCCTCTTCCGCCAGCCACGGCACTCTCGATGAGTCCCGGCAGAGGTGCCTCGCCCTACAAGCCGCCGGCACTCGCTATGACGCCACCTATTGGTAGGTGACTCACCAAAAGCTTCACTGTCAAAAAAAGAACGATTATTGGAACACTTCTTTAGGGTTTACACCCACGGACGTTACATGACCGTTATGAATGATACAAATGAGTAAATCCCGGAGACTGGATTCACTCGTTTGCGTCAGTGCTTGAGAACCTTCAAAAATGGATAAATATATCCACTTAATCAAACCATCTAATTAATAATCTGTTGGCTAAGAGCTCGAGCCCAGTTTTTATTCAGTTCCCTTGAGTAACCATTCAACTTCCTTAATGTGCCTTAATAGCCTAATCCAAGTCCGATTCGATCAACAGATACGTAGGTATAAGCTGTACTTTTAAATGGCCAATACCAGACTCTGTTATCCTCTGCTTTTCTTTTGTTAGTTTTCTTGTAGATTATCTGTACAGATATCCGGCTCTAGACACTCGCAAAGTGCCCATAAGTGTTTCCTCACAAAAAAACTTCTACTAGGATACGAACTCTTTCGTCTATGTCCGTTTCGCTTCAAACTGTTTGCGACTATGTGTAACTAAACAGTTCCCTGTAAATATGTTGTTCGCAGGTCCAATAACGGCGCTAAGTAATGCAGCGGCTTCTATGGCGAACGGAGCATCGATCTGGTCTCCGGCGGCATGCGACTTCGGCGGTCCTCCTCTGCCGCCGCCCACAGGGGCGATGCAAACCAGTCACCGTACGTCCAGCGCTATGAGTCCCCCACCAATGGGTGCCGTCGGTCTGGGGGGCGTCGTTTCCATGGCAACGAGTGCCCATCACCCATCGCATCCTTCACATCCAGCTCATTACTCTTTACCCCAAAACAGCAATACTCCTCCAGCCCCAGGTTACCCCCCTCCATCTGCTTATACAACTGGTAAGTCCGCCTATAGGCAACGCCTTTATTTAAAAAAAATCGAAGAGGTCGATAAGAAATTGAAATGCACAAAAATAAAAAATCGTTTAGCGGTACTACATACAGTATACTTAAAGAACGTCATCACCGACTTCGATTACGATTGTTCTTACCAACTTTGCCCACCTGAACTTTTAAAAAACCTTGTGACTTACCACAATAGAAGCTTACCGTGAAAGTCTCATTTCGATTTTACTTAGACGATGAAGCAATGAATAAAGCAACTAAAAAGCCTATCCGAAAGAGTTACTCGTCTGAAGTAAGATGGCGCGCTAGCGAATATAGCCTAACACCTACATAAAATTATCATTAGTACACGTCAAACTTTCTAATTTCTCTTCCCAATTAATATCCTATGAGTACATATATGAGTCTACGTGCATCTAGAAGTGTCCTTCTTCCTTAAATTCTCCGTTTTCACATCGTTGCCGTTTCCCCAGGGTCGTATTACCCAAACTGCATCAACCTCGATTACCTCGCGCCAACCTCGGCGTCCCCGCGCAGCACTGACTCGCCGCTGTACAAGGCACCGGGTGGCAGCACAGGCAATTTCTCCCCAGGACCAGCGGGCGCGCCCGGTTCGACGGGTGGCTACCCACTATCGCAAGGAGGGCCACACGCCACAAATTTTGCCACCCTACAAAGCTGTTATCCTTGTCCTACGCCACCGATCTCCGTATCTGCATCTGTCGCGGAGGTCGCAGCGTCTTCAACGCCTAACTACTACTCAAATCTTTCCTAAATCCGGACAGAATTTATGATGATAATAAAGTGGTATCGATACCGGTAATGGTGGGTGATAAATGAATCGGTGTGTGAAGGTGTGGGCGATCAATGGTGTTTGATCTCGTTCGCTCTCAGTGACAACCACTCAGACGAGAAGCGTTGATCGGAACGGAACGCAAAGAAGGGAAAACGGTTAGGAGAAAGAAGGAAGGCTCGCAAATCTTAGCGAGGCTGGTATGACACAGCAGCCTTACACATATATATATATATGTATATATATATATACATCTATATATATCGTAAGTATATAATGGCTGGAAATAGTTATACACAGGACACACAAAGGGCACATCATAGGCAATGAAAAGTTACGGCTGATGAGCGCGTCCTAAATATTCTTTCCTGTGACAAATCACCAGGAGAAGTATCATAACAATCACGTAAACAAAGCGTACTACAGCAACATGCCACAGTAAAAATAACAACACCAAAACAGTTCGAAGTTTTACACGGGGTGGGGGGTGTATACTATAGCAAGTCCATTGTTGTTAGTATATCCGGCAATCAACGTCGCATCAGTAGACGGTGCGGCAAAACCGTTAAGATGAATAAGGCTACAATAGGTTCCGTGAATTGGACTGCAAGAAAAGGGAACGAGACTAGTTCAAGACGGCCTTGAGTTGTGTGTTGGAGTTATGGCGCAGGTCAAGCATGTTTACTTAGTCCGAGTTGCAGTCGATGGCGAACGCAGCGGTTATTACAATTATTATTCATCTATTAAAGTATACGATATAGATGAACAGTTCATGCAATGATCCGATTGAGCGGGGCGACGCGGCCGAATGTCAACGGTGAGTCGTTTTAGCAACACTATAAGCTACAACCCACATCTCTTGTCAATGGGCACCTAATTGTAAGAAGGGGGGTGTGGCTGATTTAAAGGTCATCGCTTGTCAAAGGAAGTGAACAAGCTGGCAGAGTGATCCCTGAAGCGTACGAAAGGGAAACAAATTAAAAATACGTTACTGAGACTCATAAAGGCCAATTCAGTGCAGGATCAATGCTCCTGACCGGAAATAATGCGTTTGTTTAGAGAATCTACGATATATATATATATATATATATATATATATATATATATATATATATATATATATAGCATCAGCACGTCATCTATATAAAATGTAGGGAAAAAATTTTTCTCAAAACGAACATACGCAAAGGGATATGCAATCAACGCTCACTGATAATCGTGCAAACTGTTTAATATTTTACCATAGCATCGGCAATGGCTCTGAAAGACTAGAAATGCCTGTAATTCATTCGAGAGTTTTTAGCCGTTGCGATAGGCTTATCCTAAGTTCGCGATGTCTCGTCTGTAAAATAGTCGTGTCCTTACTTCTTTTTACGTTCGATAGGGACGAATAGTTGTTGATAAATAGAAGTCTCCAGTAGAACATCCTAAAAAAGCCGAACTTCCTTTTCTAGGGAAGCGTCAAAGTGACATTATCTCGTACGGCAAATGCAATTGTTTAATCTGTCCGATAGCAATAAACATTAAGGGGTGACATTACTAGTTCCGAGACGCTCGTCACTGCAAATGAGATTAAAATGATTTTAAATTGTTAAAGTTTGAAAACCTTATTCAAATTAAGTTAAAATTCTTCTAACAGATCGTTCAACTAACTACGAAGCGTTTCTTTGCGTAGCATACGGGTTAATGACGTGCAGCTTCGACCTTTTTCTCTTAGATCTATTCTAATCCCAATGATTGATCAACCATTATCTCTAACTGCATACATTGCTTCTGCCACTGCAATGGACTCCGTCAACGAGAGCCTCGAACACATCCTATACACGATTAGCGATTATAATAAGTAAGACGGTAGAATTGTGTTACGATGTAGACAAATACTGTTTCAGCATACTGTGTCCCAAAAGATCTACGTGAACAGCTTTCCAGGTTTCTGTAAGACCAGCAAAAGCTGTGGCGAAAAGCAAATGGATGACCCTAGTCGAAAATAAGCAAACAGTTGCTATTAACTTGAATAAAGACACACATTTGATTCAGGAAACGATCAATGTAAATAGATAATAACAGCTACGAAAAAAAGGAGCTCCTAAATCTATAACATACAAATATAGATATAGGAAGAGAAAAACGGGAGACCCGGGAGGAAAGGGCATAATACCCTAGGACAGGCGAGTGTGATGTTCAAATGTGCTTATGCTGATGTGTGGCAGCGTGAGTATATCTGTGTGTGCACACTAGTGGATAATCCTGATGTCCATTTCAACATAGTATTGCCACTACGCTCGATTTCTTTAGGACGACGCTATTTTCTCGCCTGGTCCCTTTCTGGCGGTATAGATTACACCATGGCGACCGCATACTCCACGCGAGTTGTTGTTAATTAATGGTTCGCAAATTGCGGGCGATATAGACAACCCGACTTTCCAACTGACGTGGAGTCAATTCACGGAACCCATTTTTACTCAGTATCCGAATTTCTAGTATTTGTGTTACAATTCTATAACACGTCACTTGTGAAATGCCAGTTTTATCCGACAGAGCCCTAAGACTCCAAGCCATCCTTTCATAAAAGGCGTTTTTGATTGCGGCAATGCGTTCTAGGCCCACGAGTTTCGATATTTGGTGTTCATTTGCACCATTTGCGCTGTACCTTCGAACGTATTCCCCAGTCTTTGATAAATTTCGGTTGCCCTGTAGCACTTGAGGAACAATGACCGGACTGCCGACAACCTATTTTCGAGACTAAAAAATTTTCACTTACTGCTGAAGGTAGCCAGCTTTCACTTACAAGTTTTTTCATTTCGTATTTATAATATATTAAAGTATTTATCATTTCGTCTGTTAAAATCTGCTAAATTCGCTTGAGCAACCTAACGGGTATTCTTAGCGAATTTTACAATGAGTACATCAATAATTCGACATGTAAGTAATGCTCTGTAGTAGATCTGCCCGATATCAACGAAAGTATCTCTCTAATTATTCTTTAAAAATTAGAGGAGAGTAAGTAGGAATGTTATAGCTTACACCTATTATAGCTATCGTAAGATTTTTTTATTTTTCTTATCTCGTTAGGATAACTATTTTTTCTTTAACACTTAGCAAGCAACCTACTTTAAAATAATAATCTACTTTAAAAATTTTCTAAGTATTTAGGTTTTATGATCATCAGTAGCAGCTCACTACGAATTGATACGGATAATGTCTATGCAGATCCGCGTCAAAAACAAATAGTTTTATTAACGCTTTTCCATGACTCACCTGTTTCTCGGCCTGACGCTCAAGTTGCTCACGTTTCTTTTTACGTTTTTTCTCCGTATCCTTTAAGAAGTATTCGCCAGTTTCCAACTCCTTATCAATCTGTAATAGAGATGTAAAACGCGCACCAGAACGTGTGTTACTGTCCTAGCCACTTTACACATCGGAAGCTATAGCTTTATGTACAAAATTCAAGCTTATCCAAATAAAGCTCAAACGTTTTCGCTGACTTGCGTACCTTCGACAGAGGCGGTGCAGGCGGAAACGGCGTATATTCTCCCTTCAGACGCTTTTTCTTGGGCTGCTTTCGCTTTGAGATATTCTTGTTGGATAGCTTTGGCAGGAATCGGTCCCAATTTTCGTTGACCAGCTGAGGATCTTTAGCTAACTCGCGTTTAATCATTAGCGTCTTGATATGATATATCGGATGAACGTTGTTCATACAGTCTTCAACGATTTTGCGCACCTGAATCTCATCATGTAACACACAGAAAACAGCACTTACAGCATTACACGACTGTGAGTAAACATAGCAATTCTCATTGTCAAAATCATTTTCCCGTGATTTAATTGAATAGAGTACACCGATGTACGCGTTGTGCATACAAGTGAATCGGGCATCGAGTATTTATTTCTCGGGTAGCATGGGGTGCTTAAAACCTTGTAACGGCTATGACGTTGGATTGTGTAGACCTTTGCCCGTACCTCCGTCGAAATCAGTCAAGATACAAGTATAAGAGGACCGTGGAAAAGCAACGCTTTACAATTGGTTA